AGACCCACATTTCACAGGCCAAAACATTTCCAGCATTCTCACGTTTAAAGAGCAATAAACCCAGTGAGAGGTACATGGGGGGAAATCACTGCACTCCTTCACCATTCCCATCTTGGAGACTGCCAGAAATAAAACAAAAAAGCAGAGATGCAGGCTTCTGCTGGAAAAAAGAAAGTAAACTAGGACATGGTGTCAGTGAGCCCCTTGTTCAGAGGCTGTCTTTGCTCTCAGTCTCACCATCAATGCATTTCAGCTGCTGTTTATTTTAACACCTGTCCCCCATAGTTCCTGGATTCAGTTTGAAACTGTAAGATAAAACAAATCAAAGCCTTTCCTTTTCATCTTTGCTTCTTTCCCTCCCTTGTAACCAGTCCCCCAGAGTCCAACCATCAGCACAGCAGGGAGAATGGGGGGAGACATACCTCGATGGAGGGGGGCTCCTTCCGTCTGCCTCGGATCCAAGCTGGAGAAGGAGGAGAGAAGAGGGGAAAAAAAACAAGAAGAGTGAGAACACCCACACAAACATACGCTGCACAAACAAAACCTGCAGTCATATTTAAAGGCTGCAGCTATACCATCACTGTGTTTCAGGGCAATACAGCAGCTCAGTACGACTATGTAGTAACCAAGATATGTAGCTGGGGGAGCGTATCCAGGGTTTTTTTTTGTGTGTTTTGTTTCATTTCACTTAGCAAACTATTTGAAAAACATGCAGAGGGTCGAAACATCAAACGACAAAACACTATACAGCTTTATTCGAGGCAGAGCAGAGCCACCGAGTACTGCGGCTGAAGGAGAAGTGTGGCTCCATTCTGATCTTCAGATTTAAAGTACACACTCTGTCATTCTCTATCAATACCTCTGTCCTTCTTTCTCCTCCTGAGTTGAACTGTGTCTGTCATCTCTTTCTATCCCTTTTGGCTGAGCTGGCAGCACAGCAGAACAGGTTAAAGGGAGCCAGAGAGAGAGATTTTCTAACTCTTCCTGCAGCTAGCACAGGGATTCTGGGCCTCTTTTATCCCTTTCTTATTTGCATCCTGATGAAAATGCATGAGGGATGGGGCGAAGCAGGATGAGGGGTTTAAGGTGGATAGAGACAGTCTGAGACAGAGGGAACAGCTTGTATCCAGTTGTAAGAAATCTGAAAGACTATTTTATGGTATGGTTGTATAACACCAGAAGAAGGCGCATTTGATAAACTCATGAATATGCTTTTCCCAGCCCCTATCTCACAGTAAGAAGAAGAAGAAGAAGAAGAAAAAAAAATCAATGGATTATTCTAGGCCCCAATAGATGCAGCCATGAATTTGTTATTCCATTGTATTTGTGCAACACTTTGTGTACTCTGCTGGGTAACTCTTTTGTTAACATTGTCATTTGTCCATGTTAGTAATAGTTCAAGTATGTAACAGTGATACTACAGTCCAGACTTACCGTCCCACTCTATCGGTATGTTGCCTTCTATATATTCATACTCTGTAGGATTGGCTGCCTCTACTATTCTCTTGGCATGCACGCGCCTTCCTGAGAAAGGAAAAAAAACGGAGGAAAAAGACAGTGAGAAGTAGCAAGAGTAAGATAGAGATGCTCAACAATGATGCACACAAAACGCAAAGGAATATAACAAATACAAAGAAGCGCAAACAATCCTCTCTGTCTCCTTCTCACACAGACACAGACAGATGCACAGACACAAATACACAGAGGGATGACAGCACTGTGACAGACCACGGATGATTACTTCATGGCCCTCGGGCCCTTCTTCTCAGATCTCGCTGAGTGGCTCCAAATCTGGGCTAAGCCTTTATGCAAATCAGCCTTCCTTTAACCCAACCAACCACAGCCCCCCTCACTGACAACCTCTTCCAATCACAGTGCTCTGGCTAACAATGCCCTCCAAAATCAACATCAAGCTGAGCAGGAGACAAAAGAGGTCAGATATCACAGAGAACAGGAGAGACACGAGCTGCGTGGAATATTAAGTGCCCCTTTCCCTATCTGTGTACAGCACGAC